TTTTTTTTTTTTTTGCCAGTACTAGGACTTGAACTCAGCACCTCATGATTTTGTTCAGCTTCCTTCCTTCCTTCCTTCCTTCCCTCCTTCCTTCCTTCCTTCCTTCCTTCCTTCCTTCCTTCTTTTCTTTCTTCCTTTCTTCCTTCTTTCTCTCCCTCCCCCCCACCCCCTTTGTGCTGGTCCCAAGGCTTGAACTCAGGGCCAGGACAGTATCTCTGGGCTTTTTGTGCTCAAGACAAGTGCTCTACCACTTAAGCCACACCTTCACTTCTGGCTTTTTAGTGGTTAATTGGAACTAAGTGTCTCACAGACTTTTCTGCCTGGGCTGGCTTTGAATGGCAATCCTCAGATCTCAGCCTCCTGAGTAGCTAGGATTACAGGTGTGAGCCACAAGTGCCTGGACTGTTCAGCTTTATTGCTCAGAGCTGGCACACTACCTCTTGAGCCATACCTCCAGACTGACTTTTTTGCTGGCTAATTGGAGTCTTTCAGATTTTTCTGACTGTGCTGCCTTTGAAATGTGATCCTCCCTGTCTCAGCCTCCTAAGTAGGATTACAGGTGTGAGCCACTGTGCTAGGCAAGCTAGGCTTACCCTACTGGATTAGGTGAATTAATAGCTTCAAATATAGATGATCACATTATTGCCTTGGTATCACTATTATTATCCCACTGGTGGTATTGTTATATGCTACTGCAACTATTGTATTTATTTACATTGGCTCATGGCTGAAATTACTGAGCTTCTCAAAGTAATATGTAAAATTATATGAATAGGTTATCAATGGACTAAACGCAGTCACCAATGAATGGGCTGTTAAAGATTCAGAAAAAAAAGCTGAAAATATCTATTTTTCATTGGTGAAAAAAATGTGAGAATACAGATACATGCACAATGCATTCTTAGGCTTTAATTTAAAAATGAAAATGAAAAAGAAAAGAGAAATCTAAAAGCCTTGCGGAGATAAGAATGCATTTATGTATAAGTCCCTTGAATTAAGTTCTCCTGGAAAGCATGCCCACATTTTTGAACATTCATTTACATACTCACTCAACAAACATTTGCTAAGCAACTACATATGCTAGCCCATATTCATTTATAGATTCTTAAAGCAAAAATCCTAAGTTTGGATCTTAAAAGAAAGTTCCACCTGGAAGAAGTTTTTACATGAATTTGACAGCAAGGCATATCTTTTGGATATCCTCAGTTTCCCTTTCACTTCCATTCTTTAAGTTTGACCCCTATTTTCTTCTTTTAATGGGAGAGGGCTAGAAGGGCCCTGCTTTGTTCCATAACAGGGTGGTTACTGCTATCTTTCTTTCTTCCTAGTTCGCTGGCATCTAAACATGCCCTAAACATTCAACTCTTTCTTTCAACTCTTGGGAAGCAGTAATAGGTGAATATGAAGATTCCTAGAGTTGATAAAGTCCTACATGGTTTGTTTGATATTGGATAAAGAGTGATCAGATAAAGGAATTTCACTCTTAGAAAAATCCTAAGAGAATGAAACAAAAGTTCTTGTTATGAAGGAAGTTCAAGAGAAAACCAAGGTGTGTGACACTGCTTAGCATTTAAATCCCATTGAAGAAGGAAACAGTGTGTGTGTGTGTGTGAGAGAGAGAGAGAGAGAGAGAGAGAGAGACAGAGGGAGAGGAAAAGAGGGAGAGAGGGAGAGAGAGAGCATGCTAAGTTCAATGTCTCCTAGTTGTTGGAGTGAAAGTAATGATAATAAATTAAAAGTTAATACTCTATTCAAAGTGCAAAATATATTATTTTCATTTTAAATGCTTTATATAAATGGATAGTTGTGAAGTCAAGGGGCTTGTTTAAGGTTGCGCAGTCACTCAGAGGACCTATGTCTTCCAATTCCAGAATCATGTTGTTTCACTTATGTCCCACTCTAAGTTTTACTGTTTTAACCATTATGGCCCATGCTTCACAACTTCTCTAGAGCTTGGCTCTGAAGCCAAAATGAAAAGAACTAATTTGTCTCAAACACTTCTCTTTTCTTGAATATGTAAATCATTAATACAGACTTACAGGTGATTTTAAATGAATCCAGACCTTGGAATTGATTCTCTGCAGTTGTTGAAAGCAAGTATCATCTACCTTAAACCTGGGAGTTAATAAATTGCAAGGCCAGTTACTATGTAGGTTAGCTTGCTTGTCTGGTAGTGATTATTTTACTCTTGATTCCAAGCAACTCTTCCATAGGAGCAGGAAAATCAAGCTCCTCTCTGCTCTGTCAAGTATCTCCAGCACTTTCTCAACAAATGTACCAACATTTGAAAAATTTGCTCTGGATACTTATTACTTCTATCGAGTGCCTATAAAGAAAGTTAGGAGGCTATGCTTTTAAAAAATGTTTTCCCAAGAAAGTAGAGAGAACTTGAGAAATGTGGGCCACAGTAAATCTAGGTCCTGAATTATCTCCCCGTGTTCAGGCTGGCTTGCCTTTTGAAAATCTAGGCCACTTGTTCCTAAACTTTGTTAGCTTAGGGACTCCTTCAGTTAGACAGAAGTCTTGAAATCCAGATAGCCTTTCTAGACTGCCATTGTCAAATGATGATCGAATGAAAGAGTTGAGTACTGTTGCTGTCATTGTTTATCATGAGGTACCTAATTAATATATATGGTATATAAGATAATTGAATTGAGATGTGGTCATATGTACACCAATGCAAACATCTTCATAGTTTACTGATGATCTTCACATTTTACCAGCATTATGAACACCATTCTTTGAGCATAATTTAGATGTATAAAGTTACTTGTTTTTTTTTAACCGTTTTAAATTTAAGTGTGAAATTCATTGTTGGTTTTCTCATGAGCAAATCTAGTTATTTGGGCCAGCTAAAGAATTGCTTGATAGTCTATAGGAGAAATGTATTTAGTCATAAAAAAGACAATAGCTGGTAATGCAATGAAAAATGTATGTTGTAAATTTAGAGCCCTATTTTAATATATAAACGGAATGTGTAGATTTTCTGTCTGAAAGGTGTACTGAAAGAAATGCACAGAAGGGGAGAGTAGATATAGATGTAAGGCAGCAAAGTCATCTTTGGCTAAAGAGATCCTTTCACAAGTTAATCTTTAATTTGATGGCTTATAAAATAGCTACATATAGGAGGAAAAGGTGCAAACAATTCGAGAGCACCTTGTGCTATATAAATAAAACCAAGGTGATGTATTCAGAATACATTGTGCACATCTATGGAATTATCACAATAAAGCTACCTTCTATTATATGCTAAGTAAATTTTTAAAAAAAAAGAACTAAAATTGTTCTTTGATTAATTTCTCTTCATTGATTTCAGTTTATCACTACATTCACAGTTACTCTGGTAAACACTGTGACTTACTAGGACTTCCCTTTTTGCCTACATTTAGTAGTAATTTTCTATGTTTATTTAGAAGTATGAAAACTTCAGTATCAGTGGTTTACATAAAGACACATATATTAATTTACATAATATTCCCACTGAAGCTGTACTACAAAGAAGGCAAAGTTCATTTTAAGTAATGTACCATTTCAGTTGGATAGTCAACTTCTATAGACAGGTATCTTATCTGTGTATCTATTACTTCCCTCTTCAAGCCTTTATTTAAACCTATATTTTTTATATTCCTTCTAGCTTGATCTGAGAAGTAAGGTTGCTTTGAAAGACTAATTTCTTTTTGTGTATTCAAATTCAAGTGTGTAACTCTTCCCTGGAAAACCAGGGGACTGTCCCTGGTTTTTTATGAGTGTGACTCTGATAAGAATGATTATTAACATTGTGGTAGGTATTTTTAGGTACAGGAGAATCTATGTATGATCTTAATCACTGGTGGTCATATATATGGATATAGATATGTGAATGAGAAGGTACATTCATGGAGTTCCTACTTCTTATAAATCTCTCATTATGTCAGGAAAGATGGCTGGCTAAGAGGTCAGGAGATCTCAGCTCTGGAATCATAGAACAAAGAGAAATACTCATCTTTCCCACCTTGATGACCGAATCTGCTCCTACAAAAGCATCATCCATTGTGAACTTCAATATTTGTAATAACAGGGATCCATTTTTTGGAAGCAGTCTGTTGTATCTTAGAGCAGCTGTGATTGGTAACAACCTTTTTCTTTTGCATAGTTGAAAGACTCTCCTTAGAGCTTTTGGCTGATCCAGTTCTTTTATTTGGAGGCAAAAGAATACACCTAATGTTTCCTTCACCCAATCATCTTAATAATACTTATAGTTACTGCATACCATGCTTACTATATGGTAGGAGCTCTTAAAAGAACTTCATGTCCATTAGTTAATGTAATCCTGAAAGCAGCACTATAAGGAAGGCGTATCATGCCTATCCTCATTTTATAGACAAGGACATTGAAATATAGAAATACTATCATTTTCCCCAAAGTTTGATAGCGGTTAGGCCTGAATTCAAATCCGGACAATCTGCTTCTAGAGCACAAGCTCTAACTACTTGTCTTCCGCTGTCTCTGAAACTCAAACCCTTGAATATGGCTTGCATAATGCCCCGATGCTTCTTCTACTGCAGGGTGGACAGCTCAGGGACATCCTGTTTCTGGGCTTTTGTGTTTTGGAGGCAGGGCACTTCATTCCTAAGATAAGGAACAGTTTGGGCTTCTAGAAGAGGCTTGCGGTGTTAGATCTTTAAAATCTAAAAGAGGAGACAGCTGCTGGTGGCTCAAGCCTGTAATCCTAGCTACTCAGGATGCTGAGATCTGAGGATTGAAGTTTGAAGCCAATGGAGGAAGAAAAGTCCTGAGACTCTTTATCTCCAATTAATCAGCAGAAAGCCAGAAGTGGAGCCAGGCTCACTTGGTAGAGTACTAGCCTTGAGTGAAAAGGCCAAGTCAGAGCTCGAGGACCTGAGTTTAAATGCCACTATGTACCAGCGTGTGCGCGCACACACACATACACACATACACACACGATGACTCTGAACCTTCCCTTCTACCTGCTTGCCTGTCTGCCCCTCCCACCCCCCCACTCCCAGCTGCCAGGCCTCTGGGGGAGGAGAGGGGGGGGCTGCACTCACCTGTGTGTACGAACATGTGCTTGACGTAGTTTTGTTTGGCGGTGAAAGTCTTGTTGCAGAGAGTGCACTCGTAAGGCTTTTTTTCGCCTTGCCCACTGGCTGTGCTGTGGCCTGCAGATGAGGCCAGGGGCTGTGGCGCTGGCAGCTGTGCAGTAAAGGTGGACAGGCCCGGCTGGGACACCGTCACAAACTGGGTCTGCTGGCCTGCCAGGGGCTGTGGCAGGCTGAAGAGGAAAGGCTTGGGGCCGCTGCCCGCGGGCTGGGTAGTGAAGAGGGCTGGCAGGTAGGTGTTGCCAGCTGTGCCAATGACCTGTGTGTTGCTGGTCAAGGTCAGAGGCATCCTCAGGTTGCTGGTGAGGGTTTCTGTCTGGCGTAAGTAGAGCTGGGTACTTGGCAATGGCTGCCCGATGGATGTATTGATGGAAGGCTGCTGCAGAACGCCCTTATCGGAGCTGTTGCTGACGGTGATGACTGTGTTGTCCATCTCCACCTCGTTGCTTCTCTCGGGAGAGGAGGCACCTGTTTCGAGCTGGTTTGGCTGAGCACCGCCCTCCGCTGGGGCTTCTGTGGCCTGCTCAGGTTGGGCGGGCTCTGTCTGGCCATCCCGCGATGCCCCGGCCCCGAACTGCTGCTCCACCGAGTCGGGCTCGGTGCCTATGGAGGAGCTGACCCCGGAGTCGAAGCTCTCGCCTTTGGGCTCGCTCTCGGTGCCTTCCGCCTGATCGGTGTCTTCTGTGCACTCCTCGGACTCATTGCGCTCCAGGATCTGCACCCTTTGCTGCCCGTAGTAGTCGTAGTCGTCCTCCATCTCTTGTTTGATGTGGATGTTGCCCACCAGGGTCTGGATGCGCACGGGCCGGGGCTGCTTGCGGCAGTGCGTGGTCTCGGGGGTGGTGGACAGGTAGCGCTCCATCTGCTGCGAGCGCTCGTGGATGCGCGTGATCCAGCTGGGGTCTTCCATGTGGTGGTCGCGGGGCAGGCCGAGCGCAGTCTCGTGGTGGCTGACCACCGCGCCGCTGTAGAAGGAGCGCTCCCCGCTGCCGTTCTGCATGGAGCAGGCGTAGAGCGCCGAGTAGATTCTGTCCACGCTGTGCTGGGGGTGGCTCTGCAGGTAGCCCGATTCCGTGTCGCTGCTCTGGCCCGACGTGCCAGACTCAGGCGTGCCCCGCGGGGTGTCCTGGCCGGAGTCCTGGATGCCGGGGAACACGTCCCCCACGTTCTGGGACACGATGCGCGTGCACTCATCGATGACGGTTTTGATCTGCAGGATGCTGGCGGCCGTGAGGATCTGCAGGGCCTCGGACTGGGAGACCCGCAGCACGCCGCTGTACATGAAGTCAATGAGCTTTTGCACCGACTGCACGGACACCACCGACGGGATCTCGATGTCGCTGTAGCCCAGCAGCAGCTTGTCCTGGAAGAAGGGGCTGCCGGCGGCCAGCACGCAGCGGTGCGCGCGCAGCATGCTCCCGTGGATGCGCACCGTCACGTCACAGAAGTGGCCACGGTTGCGCTGCTCGTTGAGGGTCTCGAGCACGGAATTGCTGAAGTTGTGCAGGTTGATGCTGTGAATGCGCTCGGTCATCCCCTTGCAACTGATGTCACCTGCAGGAGAGGGAAGCAGACGGGAAACCGGGCATGGGTCAGAGCTCGCTGGCGGTGTGCTTCACACTTAGAGAAGCAACATGCGTTCAGACGTGGGCGAGGGCAGGCCGTGCATGAAGCCTAGGGCACCAAGGCCTCGTTGTCCAGCTAGCTCGGATATCCTATCGTATTAATCTCTCTGAACGTCAGCAGAGGGTGTCCGCTCCCACCTACCATTTTGTAGGTTGTTTGCCTACCTGGTAACTGAGGTAATTGAAGGATGTGTGCTCAAGGACCTGGCTTGAGCTGGGTCTAAGCCAGGAAATGCATAAAAGTATGCATTTCCCCCAATTTATCGAAGTTCCTTATTTTATTCATAGAGAGCAACAATATTCATAGTTGTCTAAGAAATACATCCTCTTCCTGTCAATTTATAAAGTGTATTACCATAGCTTTATCCCATATGCAAAAATTCAAACCAGATGAAGATGTCTACTAAGCAGCTGCCCCCACGTTCCTGGCTGATGGGTGGCTATGAACGCAATCTGCTAGCTCAATGGGCTTTTGGCTGCTTTCTGTATCTACTCACCTCCTTCTCATAGCTGACAACTGGCTTGAGAACTTTCTAGGATGGTTATGTGTGATATGTGAGATGTTCCGAGGCTTAATGAAGAAGGAATGCTAAAATGAACACTGCTGGCTGTGCTGACTGCACTAATCAATTGACCAAGAATCAAACTGGTTGCTTTTAATATTGAAAGGGAACAACAATCAGGGTAGGAGAGCAGGAATAAAACAGGAACCGAATACACTAGGGAACAGGGTCCTAGGGAATAGGACTTGTTAGAAGGAATTGTTAAACAGCCCCATCAGTTATGTGGAGGCTGTGCTAGACTAACCCCCTGATACGCTTATACTGTACCCTTGGTGCAGACAAGGCATAATGTTGGGAACATCAATCCTGGAAAACAGGGGCCTATGGCACTAAGTCATAGGGGCTTTCCAATATTTCTGCTCCACCCTTCAGGTGGCTCTCAAGAATTCTCTCTCCAAATTATTCTCCCATCAAATTCCTATTCTTGTCTTTAAAAATGGTTGAGAGTAAGTGGGCTTTCAAAAATGGTAGTCAAGCTGGGCACAGGTGGCTCATGCCTATAATCCTAGCTACCCATAAGGCTGAGATCTAAGGATCAGGATTTAAAGCCAGCTTGGGCAGGAGAGTCTGTGAGACTCTTATCTTTAATAAACTACTCAGACAAAGCTGGGAGTGGTGCTCTGGCTCAAGTGGTAGAGAGCTAGCCTTGATCACAAAGAAGTTCAGGGACAGGGCCCAGGCCTGAGTTCAAGCCCCTGGACCAGCCCCCTCCCTCAACACTCCCTCCCCCCTACAAAAGTAGTCAAGTACTGGTTATTCTCTGGATCCAGATCCCTGTGTCTTATTAGAAGAAAGCTTGGAGGTACCAGACTACAGACAGGTGGTCTTAAGATATGAGACCTATTCAGGTAAGTGTGAGCTCTACTAGCTTTCTCAACGAACTACTCCACTTGATCACCCTCATACTATCTGAGCTTAAGAAATGCTTTCAAGCACTGAGTTCACACGATACAATTTGTATTAATTTATGTAAGAGCAACCCTTCTTTCACTCCTCCCCACAAACAAGTCTAGCTCCCATCTTTTTCACTTACACAAAACAAATTCTCTTGGCCACATAGAAGAATCATAGTAAATCTCCTATAATTGTGCTAATACAAAATATGGCCCCAGAAGAAAGCATCAATAACATAAGAAGAGATGTTCAGGAACTCAGTCAAAAGACCAAATTCCCCATGCATGCATACATACCATGACTATAAGAAGAAGAATGAGTTTTTTACTTTTTAGGAGATTATCATCTGCCAAGCATCATCACAACTACTTATGCATATTATTCTATTTAACCCTCAGAGCAATGATAGGGAATGGGGTGCATTATAATATATCTTTTATAATAAGGAAATTGAGGCCAGAGAAATAATATCCAAGGCTCCATAGGCAATTGGTGGTAGGAATGGCATTTGAACCCAGGAATGCTGGTTCTAGAGTTCACTCTCTTGACTGCTTCACTCTATCATATGCTCTGCCCCTGGATGAGTGCAGGCCTGTGGGTGTTCATAGGCTTTTAAAAAAACTATATGAAAAGATTTGCCTTGAACTTCCTCCAACTATTTTTGTACCTATCCATGATGTAACAGAGCTTTTATGTTTTGAGGCTTTAATACAGTTCCGGTCATCTAACTTAAAGAACATTACACACACACACACACACACACACACACACACACACACACACACACACACGAGAAATTGTATTAAAATGAACAGTTTTCTATATCAACTTTACTATCACTAAGGTCTATCTTTGACTTCAGTAAAACAGTAGGCAGTAAAACTTGCTATAATAGATAGCAGTAAAAATCACCATCTCTGAGTAGGATGTCCTTATTAAAATACTTCTTTCTCTACACAGGTAAAAACATCCTTACAATACATATTTGATCATAGCATCAGTCACAATTGTAACACTGGAGATGTCACAGATGACAGCTATCTTCTTTCAGATAATTTTAGTAGCAAGTCTATCCTAGTTGTCATAATAGTTAATATACATGCAGTATTTTATAGTGCGCAAACCCCTCTGGCATATAACATCTCATGTGTTTCTTGCAACAATCCTATGTTTTCATGATAAGTCTTGTTATTCTTACTTGCTGTAAGAGAAAGTTGGGATTCTTGAGGTATCTACCTGAGTGGCCCAAAAGTTAGCAAAGTTAACAGGGTTGGATTAGAACTCATGGCACCTTATGTACAAAGGATCACTAGAGAATGAAACTTGAATTGCTAGAGGCTCTAGGGCCATCTTTATTCTCACTAGCATAAAAACAATAAAACAGTGGAAGTTATATTGGAGCTTACCATAATGATGAAAAATTATGAACATCAAAAGCTGTCATTAAACCACACATACACACATACACACAATTTCTTGAGAAGAATTCAAACTCCTTGCTTACATAAACTGGATTGCAGATTTAGTCATTCTATACAATCAAGTTTTTTGCTAAAGTGAATTACTATTATTGCTATAATGTCACCAACTTTCTTATAAAACCACAGAGACAAATGTAACCCCCCCCCATCACACACACATCCTGACTTGAGAAACGGAATCGGATTTTTATAAACATAATTCTGAAACATCTCCTTGGGTATATGCCATGGTCCCATCCTGCCAGGAGCAGCCATGAAAGGCTGAATCGTTTCTTTGCTGATATGGGTACAGATGTAAAGGAGGAAGGTGGCCTCTCCATTCAAGCGCGCCTCATTCCTCCAGCCCACAATGCTGAGGCAATTCCTTTCCCAGGGTTTCTTTTATTTCTAACACTAATACAGTGAGAAAAAGTTTCTGCCATGGCAAGGCAAAATCCAGGCTTTTGTGAACATGTCCTTTTCATCCAATGAGCATTAATGTATAGATTCCAATGGAATAAATCTGAAATACTCTACTGTAGAAGATTTGTCCCCCATTGAAAACAAATCTTGATTGGATGGTTATTCAAGAACTGTATAGGAAGGATTGGTGTGAAAATGCTAACTCTATTCTTTCTTAGATTGGCACTGAATAGGCATTTGGGTATTCACAAAAAAAAAAGAAAGAAAAAGAAAACCACACACAACAAAACAACCAGCCTCTCCCCCTACAAAACCCCAACTGTCTCAACTGTACAAAACCACCCAACTTTACATAGACTTAGTGTATTTGAAGATGCCTCCTCTCTCTAAAACAATCCAAAGTAGTATGAATATAGAACTGATGGTAAAGTGAAAAAATAGTTCCCTGTGTGTTTTAAAATAATAGGCTAGCCTTTTCTCACCAGAGTAAAAACATAAAGTCAGCTTGTGATGGCATTCACTGCGAACATGTAAAGAATTGTACTACGGAAAGTGGTAATGTACTTATTGTAAGTGACCATTCTATGAGAGAGCACAAATGGATGGGGATGAATCAGGGGTGAGTCCGGAAGGGAAATCTGTCTGGAGAAATAGGTGGTGGAGAGCCTGGCTCTTTGTTTTGTAGGAACTCTGCTCTTGCCTGTCCCTTAAGCTGCAGGGGTCCAGGGATAGGACTTAGCATGAGAATAAAAAGCTGCCTGTGCATAAGAGAAAATGAACAAGAAAGGAAACAGCAGGCAACACAATCTCTTTTAATTAGGTGTGAAATCCAGTCCTTTCTCAGACAGAAGAGCAAAAGGATATATAAAATGAGAAGAGTGCAAGGATAGGGTATTGCAAAGGGGGGGATGGGAAGTTGTAGTCTCTGTGACTTGAGAGGAAAACACCAGTTCTCAAATTAAAATCAGTATGAATTTCGGTCAAATCAACAGGTCTAAATCAAATGGCAGGGCCGAAAAGCCCTAGAGCTTTCAATCTGGGGCATCTGGCTCCAAGGAAGTAAGTGGGTCAGCACATGACATAGGGCTTGGGGTGCCAGGCCTCTACAGCCCAGCCTCGCACATCATGGCTCTTTTCACTCCTGTATTTTGATACCTATAGTGTGCTGAGGTTCATCTTCCCACAGATCGAAGGTTAATCATGATTTTTAGGTATTTCATGTTGGTGCTGCTTGCAGGTATGTGTTTTGGTAACTCAGTCTCATTGCTTCCCCGAGTCTCCTGACAGGAACAAGATCTCTGCTGGATATATTTCACCTATCCAACAAAGGGGCTTTGCTGAGCCATCTGCACTGGAAGAGGGCAAATGGAAGACATCAGGCAGAGTAATACTTTCATTGGCTCTGGCTCTTATACATCTAGCATACTCAGTCATCATTATCCCAGCAGTGGGAACACATCGGCCTATGAAAAGAAGATTGGTGCAGTTTTAATTAACTCAATTTTAGGTGAAAGCAGAGATTCTTTGGGCCATCTCCCAATGAATGTTATTAAGATTTGGATATGAAGTATTATCCCCTGAGGCTTATA